CCTACTATTCATATTTTTTATTTTAAAAGTAAATCTATAACCGTATTCGAGAAAATTTAGTGATTTTATTATCTTGCAATGTGTAAATCGAGAAATGCGGCCAAACAATGTATCATGATCGTTCAAAACGGTACGATCGGTAATTAGCAGGGAGACTTTTCTCGCTATCTACCCCTGCTAATCAACTTATTTTTATCTTGCGCCAGCTAAACTTTTTACACTATTGGATAGAAAATTACTCAACTATATCCTGTGCTCTATCGATCTAGACCTTTAAGCGTGAGATTGTAAACAAGTCAGCCTCGCAAAAAATTTTTCAAAAAGGTTTATGCAACGTTATCACATACACCCATGAATTTAAATTTATTCGCTGCATATTATTGCAAAAATATTTGTTTGATATCTCGTGCGGGCGTTTCGGCCGCTCGATGTCCGTCCCGCTCCGCCGTTATTGGGTCGAGTCTCTCGATCAGAGACAATCTCAAGGATAAGTAGGTCTCGCGATTCTTTGTTAATTATACTCGATTATACTTACAAACTTTATTCTATATATACAGACTAATTCTCGATTTACATCTTGTCGTTACGGTGTTCGATCTCCAACTGTCGCCGGAACGGATCGTCACGCTCCGATCGCTCCCTACTCCCTACTTCCGAAAAGCGCTAGTGTCTCGATCGTCGATCCTCTATCGATAATATCGATCGGTACGCAACAATATTTTTAACGCAATTGGAGGGAAAGAGGCAATGCCGCAACGCAAATATTTTTAACAGTACAAGAATCATATATATTTACCACACTCATCACATCGCCACATAGCTTTTCCGGCGTGGTAAGCCGCGATTCGACTTCCATCGGTTCCTTTAAGTGGTTCGTCTTCGTATGTCCAGTTTCCGTCGTCGCTACCGTCGGTACCGTTTCCAGTATCTTCGTCGTTTTTGTAGGAAACGGATGCTTCAAACTCGTTCTGTACGCTCGACGCTGGATTATCAACGAAATTGTGAGAAATTATATTAAGCTTTTCGTGTTAATGGCGAAAGAAATTCATCGTGCTTTTGTGAAACGAGGCACTCGTTAAACTGTATCAATCCGGTAATTGATTACTGTGAGAATAACTAGTCAGAATAAATGCAATTTCGAACGTTTAACTAGATTGTCAGTTATAAATGGTATTTTCTTGATTACTAAATGTTAGTTAACGTTAAATAATTAAATAATTCTGATAATGAATTAATTTTACATCAAATAGTTTTGAATGATAAATTGCATGAGGAGAATGCAAACAATTCCGATTGCATTCTTATGGTGAACACGTGTTGCGCAAAAAAAGATATTTATTAGAAACTTACGACAAATTTATAAATAAATACTTAAATTATTTCTATTGCAGATTACACAACTCGCCGATATTACACAATTTCTTCTCAATAAATACAATCAATAATTTATTGATAACATTTAGATAATCAGTAGAACAATATATCTATACTTATTTTTAATTTATTCTAAAAGATTTTACAGAAAATCTCAACCTACTCTTATGATCAGGATCATCGCCGTAAAGTTTCTTTGTAATTTCTCTAAACATATCTTCGTAGTCGATCCTGGTGCCATTTCCTTCCATTTTAAGAACCGTTTATAACGGCCACTCACTGTCTACAGAACAATAAATCTTTTCTCTTTGTCCCTCAAAGGCAGTCTGTCTACCTGCGATGAGTCACCAAAGACCTGAACAGGAAAAAAGATTTTCTTTTCTTACTGGAGTCTATTTTATCGCACGATAGTTACGAGCTCATGGTGCCAGAAACATACTTTCTACATCTTTTACGATTTTAAGAGAATATCAAAAACAACATATCCGCAAAATATATATATATATATATAAAACCATGAAAATTAAATTTAGAGATAAAATTAAATCTAAAACCATACGAAAATAAAATAATTTCGAACTAGAATGCCAGTTGTAAGTAGAACTTTCATTGATTGCTGATTTTAATTCACAACTAAATGCAAGATGCATGCCATAATAATTTAGCAACATATAAGTCTTTTTTTATTTTTTTCATCCTTTCTTTGATTTATTTAGACAATTTTACGAGTTTTTGACACGTTTTTAAAATATTTTCTTCACTGAAGCTATACTTTTATCCTAGATGTAATCGGGAAATATTTTATCGTACGATAAAATAATTTATTTATAATAATCTTCTTTTACAAATTGCCTACAAGCATTCTATTAGATCTGAACCTGGAAAATTCCCGACCATAATGCGGCCGTTTGATTATACCAAAAACAATTCTTTACGCGATATATGGCAAACAGCCAAATTTTGTTGAAAAATGCCATATTTTCTGTAGGTACGATGGTACGCTTTTTTTCAATATTTGAACATATTGATTGCTCTTCATCATCCTCTGAACCAACTAGCTGCGAATAAAAACTATGTAAATTTCCATGATTTATATCTTATTTAAATTAATTTTCACGATATTATACTATACAAACAAATTTCAAAATTGCACATAACTACAACTAGTTCTCGCAAAGGGACTACAAATAGTTATCGCGGAAGATTAATTCTCGAAGTTGTATGTTTTAAATATTCGCAGTTCTTTGAGTATTTCCTCACGATTATTCTATTATTATCTTCACAGTTAAGGATTGTTTTGATAACAAGTTCATATATTTACTATTGATTTCAGTAAATAACTTTGGAAACATAGGCCAGTTATTTTCCTTTATTTCCACCACATTTACGATGTTTTGGTGCGTTTAAACAAGAGTATAGAAGATTTAATACAAGAAATTATTCAACGACTTTTCTGTAATACGCCTAAGATAATTATAAAAAAATTACAAAAATTATGACAAATTTGAAATATAACAATTTTAATAACCAATATATAGATATAATTATATAATTGTGTATATATTATATAGTATAGTATATAGTTATTAATATATAATTAAAAATGTTTTTCTTTATATTATATAGATTTAAAGTTATATTTCTTAATTTCATATAATCACGTACGGATTAGCGTTAAATTCGCCAACCTACACCAGATAGTTAATTGAAATTATAGTAATGAGAGAATGATAACGTAAAAGCTTTATTATACTGGCAGTACTTGAGCACATTTTTCTCATGTATTTATATCATAAATAGAGAATAATTATATTCGTATTATCGGGTCTATATTTCACAAAGCGTAAGTGCGAGAAGAAGCAATGTAGAGTGAATGAGGAGAATAATGTGCAAAATTTCATAACGCATGTTTTAATGACTTCTGGGCGTTACCACAAGATTAGATTCAGAATAGTTGGACGATATGTAAAAAGTGAGTCACATGATTCGGACGGGCTTCTTATGATTGATAATAAAGAAATATGGTATGGGAAAAAGTATAAAAGTATAATGATGTGTAACTTTTTATTAACAGTAACGTTAGTTTTTTTCGCAAATACAACGATATACTTGCGATGTAATGCATTTTCAAATACAATTAGATGTTTTCTCTAAATTAATCAATTTATCCTATTATAATATCTGCAGGATTTCCTTTTAAATTCTGAGTGATCTCATATCATACATAAAAAAATGTTTTCGCCTAAAATTATTATACATTATAATCGATACTTAAATAAACAAAAACAATTTGTAATTTCTCTTTAAAGAATAATGCATGCCTCTCTCGAGTAATTATTAGATTTTCTAAATTTTGCAAGATGCTTATCGATCAGAAAAGAAAATTGAAGTATTATACAATTATCTTTTGAACTGTGTCTTTATTTTTAACAAGGTAGTTATTCTCACTATTATGTCAAGATCTAATAAGAATAGTTTAAGAATAATGTTATACATTTTTTGTATTATATTTCGATCTTTGTCTTTCCTATTTTCCTCGCAGATGGAATTTAAATTTTTATGTATTGTCGGATTTATTACAAATATGTATCCATTGATTTTTTATTTCACCTGATATTATTTCTTTTGCTTTTATGAATACCGTGTTTTAATTGATTTCGATCGAATGATGCATGCACAAAGATTTAGCACTATGTTCTGCAGGGGTGGCGACACAGCATCCGGAAAGAGGAAGGAGCGAGAGTGTATTGATCGTCACGATTGCTGCTCGAGTAACTGAGAGGGGGAAACGAGCAACCCCGCTGGTAACCTCGTACTGTGTGTGCGTGCGCATATACCATGATCAGCCGTGTATATGTATGCAGAAGGGGAAGCAAGCACATTTCTGTGCGTGGAAGGGGTTACTGTGAAGAATAAATCAATATGCCCCTCCGCCACCGATCGGGGGCACGTTCCCTAGAAACGAAACGACAGATGGTGGAACGTAGAGGGTATTCTAGAGTGGAGCCTTCACATTTCTCCGCTGGTTGAGAACCTCTACTTTATGGCGCAGAGAGAAGTCCGAAGGGGGAAGAAGGAGAGATGACACAGCGGTGCGGCGGGAACACGGTCGGTTGGGATAAAGGCAAAGACACACAAGGCAAAGTCTTCGAGAAAGAGAGAAAGAGTCAGATAGATAGATGAAGAAAGAGAGAATGAGAGAGCGAGAGAGTGAGAATAGTCGAGAAAATGTAGTGGGAGAGAGAGAAAGAGAGAGAAAGAAGACACGCGCAATGCTCCATTCAAATCCATGCGGAAATTATTGCCGGCTAACCAAGGACGTCAGGCAGATCTCCTCCGCGCCCGCGCATGCACATATACGATCGTGCACACATATTTAACGCGATTGCACACACGCATGCACGATCGCTCGCGTACAGCCGAAAGATCCCTTCTTTTCGCTTTCGCTCTTTCGTCTCTGCTTTCCGCCTTCCGCCGCTTCCACACGCGGCGGAGCGCGCAAAATCGCCGTCGCTATCAGCGTTGCCGTGAACGCGTGCCCACGTCGCGGAAAGGGCTGCGGCGAATGCCGCCGGCCTGTCGTCGTTCGCGCTCGGCATCGCGTACAATATCGCGGAGCACCCGCGAATGGCCGCCCCCGCGCGCACACGCGCGCTCCCGGAACACACATGGACACCCGGCACCTCTCTCCGTCTGTCTCACCGCGCGCTGCCCGTCGAAACACCGACGAACACATAGACGCCGAGACGTCGCACATATAGCCGCGCGCTCCGCGCGTCTCGATGGGTATTCGCGTGCGGCCTATTCGCGATACACAATACGTCGGCCGCGGCAGCGGCCTCTCCTCTCGCTCTCGTTCGCGCCGCGACTCGTCATCATTCGTAGTCTCGCACTCAGATTCGGTTCTCACTCTCTACTTGTTGTTACTTCTCCCATCTCTTTTCTCATCGTCCTACTTTGCACTTTCTCCCGATCGTTCGTTTTCGGCGCGCAACCCGCTACTCCCGGCTGGAAGGAAGTGAAGCAACGTACGTCTCGAGAGGGACGTACGTCCTCGGCGAAGACACCGATCGAGATCTGGTATCCTACTGACGCTGGACGATGACGACGCCGAACGCGACGGCGGCTCACGGCACACAAACGCGATGAAGATATACGGATGAGCACCGGAACTCGCGACTCGTAGGAAAACGTTGAGTCTTACAAAATGCTCACCTTCTTGTGCCCGCTAACGAAGACCAAGTGCACGACGCTGACGAAAATCGTTGTTCGAGGAAACGTTATGCTGGTTCGGTTGCAGGTTGTTTCCTCGACGGCAGTCGGGTGGCGAGTGGGTGGGTAGGCGGGGTGGCAGGCGGACAGAAGTGGGTGGCTCAGGCGGGTTGGGAGCAGTGGTGTGTGGGTGGTGGCGTGAGGGAACCCAATACCACCCTCCTCGCCCATTCAATCCTCCAGTATTAGGGGGAGCAGTCGAGCCTGTTTCCCCTCCTCCCATCATACACCCAACAGCCCACTACACACCAACAGCTGGCGACGATAGACCCGTTTGCGCGTGTATGTGTAGACTCTGTCTTGTACGCATATACCTACACATGAAGACATACCCGCCCTCGAACTTCCCTGCACGTCTGTCTCTCTACACGTGTTCAGGACGCAGCCAAGCACTCCAGGGGCGAATTAGGTTGTGAGAAAGAAGGAGAGAAGTATAGGGAGGTCTAGGAAGACCTTTGAAATCCTTTTTCGGAGAACATCTAAAAAGGTCTAAAATTCAGGAATGTTTGAAGGTCCCTCACCCCCCTCTCAGCATGTCGCTAGACCTTCTTGCCTTAATTTTTTTTAACTGTTCTGGAAAGAGAAAGTTGCGACTCGCAAAAGCTTTGGGAAAAATCCTTGACAAAGGAAAGAAAGAAAGAAAGAGGAGTTTAGATACGCCTTTTCTAAAATTTTCCTTAGAATTTTACAAATTCTTGAAATTCCACAATATCGTCCAAAAAATGTTCAACGATGTTGCTAATATTGTTTATTGGAGCTTTTAAAGAAGGCTATACGTTAGTAGAGTCGCCTTCACATAAAAATTACAAATAAAAATTATTGTGAAAATTGTTTCAAAATTTTTGTAATATTTCTAATAACAATCTATCTAAGACTAAAACGAATAATATTAGCGCATTATCGTATAAAAATAAAGTTTTGAATATTATCAGTAGCTTTATATCTTTAGAAGATACCGCTGACATGTATGTACGTAAACGCAGAGCTAACATATCCAAAAGCAAGAGTACTGATATCAGAAGCTCGCTTCAGCCGATAAGCAAGCAGTCGACCAAACCGACTGTTTCCAGAACCAGTTTGGGTTCAGTCTGGGTCGGCATTCTTGGTGAGTTCCCTACCGAGAGTACGAGAGTTGTTGTACCAGCGGCATCCGTCGCTCCGGCAACCTTCATTTATATTCCGCCTGGCGTTACCATGTGTAACGTTCCGTGACGCGGGTCTGAAATTAACTTCCAGCGTCCCGTCACTTCGTTATCGTGCAGCCGGAGGCCGCCCTGCACACGGACGAGCGCGGATCATTCAACGGGAGCAGCCGGAGATACATCTGCATCCGCATCCGAGTCGTAATTTTAGGAACGACGAGTGCATCGGGCCGCTGCCGACGTCGGCGTATTGATCCCTGCCCCTGTTCAGACATTCCCTTACGCTCGCGCGTCGCCCATCTCTTCCTTACGTAGATGCGAGGCGGAAAAAACTAACGGAGGGATGATGATGTCTAGTATTGGCCGCAGTCGCGTGATCGATCGGACGCCGCGCCGCGAACGGAAGGAGGAGATGGTACTTTAGCGCGAGAGAAATTTCCGCTCTCGCACCACAAACGCGGAACTACTTAACTTAAAAGCTGCTAAAACGACGATGTGCCAAGGACGGCGTCATCGGTTAGGGAAGGGTGGAAGAAAATGAAATTTGCCACGAAAACGTAATATCCCTAAAATACACGACGGGAGATTTCCATAAAAATCTAAGCATAGGTTTGCGACGACCATGAAGCTCGTGTCTATTTATTTTTGCGTACAAGCGCCTCCTTTCAGAATGTGATGATATTTATAATTATGAAAGAGCCTTATATCCATATTTTGCAAAAATATCCTAGCATCACGTTGCCACAAATGCGTTTTGCTTTCGCTTTCTTCTAGTTCTCTTATATCACTTTTATTATTAGCTGTTTATTTATCTATTATTAACTGCGCTTTATATAAGATTCAAAGTTCATCGAGAGAACGATAGTTTTAACCTACCAAGAAATTATAGTTTTAACTCTCTCAGCCCTTTCGACGTCATTTTTCACCAAGATTGTCACTGAGTGAACGAAATAAGATTAAAAATTGCAAACAATTTTTTTACATAGATTTATATCTCGTAATTGCATTAATATGCCATACTGTTTTAAGAGAATTTTTGTTTACGTTAACACACAATGGTTTGAAATTATAAAGATTTGCTATTAAATCTAAAGAATATCTAATAGAAGAATTTGTTTTCTCAAATTCTTCCACCCGATGGAGAAACAATGATAATTTCGAATACATCTTCGAATCTTTCTATCCTAAACAATAGTTATTATTTATAATTATTAATATAAATTAGAATATACTTTCAAGCTATTTACTATTTCATTTTCACCGAAATATTCAACTGTTCTTTCAGACTTACGGCAATATATTTGTCGAATGGTTTTATACATTTATATGTAATTCCTAGACATAAATTCTCTTAACGTTTTTAGAATCAAATTTGTTTTTATCTCTCAACGTTTTTATCTCTTAACGTTACTAAGTATTTATTTACTACTCTGCTTGAAATGCGTAAAGCACGGCAATTAATTTATCTAATTTGTCCACTACGTATTGATGATTCTGTCATGACTATTAGTGTTATCATTATGTATTGATGATTCTGTCATAACTATTAGTATTATCATTAAGAGATCATTCCAACATATCGTTTTAACATTTCCGATTAGTCTGCCCGTGCTCCCACTTTATCTTGCGCTCTATTCTCTATTCTCCTCTCAAATTACATGTACACGGATTTCCGTCGTCATGATCATATCGTCGATTGCTCGTCGTGGCGAGCCATAGTCGTAACGACGCTTCTATGATCGGCGGGTCATTCGCACGCAAGGATCGCGAGTACGAGCACTGCCGCCGTCATCGCGGTACTCGTACATCGGCCGATGGCTCGACCATCGTGTCGGTGTCGACGTCGACGTTCTATGATGGTAACAGCGTCGGCGTCGGTCTGCGGAGACGCATTCGCGCCGGGTAGCTTCGCGTCGCGGCGCTTGGCGTCGGCGGCGCTTGGCGTCGGCGTCGCTGGAATCGTTCGCGCGAAACAGGCAGACAGTGGTGGCTAAGGCACCGTGTAAGCGCGTGTAACCGCCATATTGGCCGAACTCCGGACGACAGCTCCCCGCGGGTCGCGGAGCTTTAAAGCTCCCGGTAGCTTTCCCGACCGTTGCCCGCGTCGGCCCGGGCATAATAACGGGGAACGCGCATAAAGTGGCGCGAAGGCGAACGGTCCCCGCGCGAAAAAAGAGGCGGCGAGGAAAGGACACGCGATAATACCGGATACGCCTTCGAACGTCGCATCGAACAGTGAAAAAGAGCTAGAGAGAGAGAGAGAGAGAGAGAGAGAAAAAGAGAGACAGAGAGAGAGAGAGAGAAAGGGAGAAAAAGATAAGGATAAGATACAACACGCGGACGTAGCAGTGATAAGTGTTCCGGATACACGCGACATAAATCGAGAGAAAATCGTGGCAATCGATCGCAGCAGTGCATCCGAATATATCGATATCCATCTTCCTGTACTCTCTCTCTCAGGCCGTATCCTCCAAAGATTTCTTTCGTCAAGATAAACTCCCGCGTCGAATTTTACATCGCTTCCATTCTATCACAATTTATCAGCGTTCCCGACGAATATCAACAAAGAAACGTCGGTGTGCTCCGAAAACGGTATAATACGTTCGAAATCGTGCGAGAGAGGATCCACGACAACTTCCAGTATAATTATCATCAATAAATCAGAATCTCTTCCCGAAACTAATCTTCCTCAGAAATTTTCCGTACGACCGGCAAAGATCAACACGCGACCGGAAGTCTTCCGACAGGATACCAAACAGTCAGTCGACGAGAAGCTAACTCGAAGATAGTCTTCAGCAGTCTACCTTGCCGGCGTGACAGCGCGCGAGTTTGTCTCTCCGTCTGGTCTCGACTGCTACCAATCAATAACCAGCGCATCGACTCACTTACGCTCAACTCTCCTTCCCCTCCTCTCTCTCTCTCTCTCTTTCTCTCTCTCTCTCTCGCTCTCTCGCTCTCTCTCTCTGCTCTCTTTGCTCTCTGTCTCTCTCTCTCGCCTGCTCCCTCTCTCTTTGTCTCATCTATATCTTCTCAATATCTCACGCTCTTACTTTCAACGCTTCTCTCCTTCTGCCGAACCAAATACGCTAACATTCTCCGTTCATCGTCTTTCCCTCTCTTCCTATCTTTCTCTTTCTCTCTCGTCTGTCTCTCTTCCTTACACCTTCTTTCGGGCTCGCGCGTACAAGATACGCGGGACGGGCACCTGTCAGCGCGATCAACAGCATCAAGAACATAGGCAGACACAGCGGTAGCATCAGCATCAGTCTGAGCGGCAGCAGCGGAGACATTTAAGCTTGGCCGCGCCAGCGCCTCGCGTAACATCTTCTAACAGACGCGAGTACCTATTTATAATTCCATCAAGCGCAACGGGGAACGAAACTGCTGCACGATCGCGTACGGCCACCTAGGTCAACCACGAAGAAAAGAGATGAAGTGAGGTCGGCGCTGACCCGAGAGCGTGGCACGGCGCGACGCAGTCGCACTTTTAAATCGCGTAATTGAAGAGTGTGATGAGTCGGTCGCGTGCGACGTCTTCATCATCATCAGCATCGTCGTTATCGTCATCGTCCTAAAGTTCAAGGATTCGGTCCCAGTTGGTTGACCGAACGAGCGAATTTTCGAAGTTCGAGATACGGGACTGCGTATCTCGATGGAGCGCGACGAATTCATTCAATCGTATCACGCTCATCCTTGAAAGTAAACGCCATCAGTAGCAAAGGATCTCCACTTCCTGTTCCTTTCTGTGGCAGGTTTCGCATCCGCGCACTCCCGCCCCTCTCTCTCTCTCTCTCTCTCTTTCTCTCTTTCTCTCTCTCTCTCTGCTCTCTCCTTTTCTCTCCTACTCCTCTCTAACTCGTCTGACCGACCAGTCGATCCGCGCGCGCGGCTGTCCCGTTAAGAGAGAAGGGTGGAGGGCGCCGCGAGAGGGTGACAGTGGTGAAATGGTACCGTGGCACGGGTGGTATTAACGAAGAGGATCATCGAGGGAAAAACGACGGACAATCGGCAGCAGCAGGAACCGGAAGAAGGCGGGAAATGGATAAAATATCATGCGCGACGTCGACGACGTAACCCTCCGCTTGTCGGGGTCTGCCGTTGTTCAGTGTCGTCGCGCGACGTCGCCATCATCGTCGGCGTAATAGCGCCTCGCCCGATCGCGAGGCGAGGAACCTGCTTGTCGGTTGGCTGTTTGGTGGTGCGTGTACCTATGTATCCGTCCGCGAGTCCGTGAAGGGTTCGTGCGCTGGGCTGTTACGCGGTTTCAGCTGAGGAGCACTGGTGCGCGCTGGGAGCATGCGGGCTTCGGGCGAGGTCCGGCGAGGCGGCTCCGCGGGAGGACCGGGCTAAAGGGACGACCGCATATCGGGAGGGACACTCGCGAACGCGGGCACGGTGCATTCGCGGCCGTGCCCGCACCCGCACCCTCGCATCTCGACGCCGCGCCGGTCACGCGCCGATTAGGTTGATCCTGAAGACGCGGAAAGCGAGCTGGGCTCGCTTTCGAATGCATGGAACATGATAGAGGTAAGATCCAAGACGTAAACGTATACTTGCATTCGTTACGTCTGTCTTAAGAAAAGAATTAAAGACTCAACACGAAATAGTAATGGAGTCGTGCTGATCTTCTTCGAAGGGTATTTAACTGCAGCAGCCAATTCGATTTACAGCGCGATGGAACGCAGTGATATCTCTCATACAAATGTGTGCACATGGCGAACATCGCAGTTAAATCCGTGGAACGACAAGTTAAAAAAAAGAGCTATAACAATATAAAAATTCCTACGTATATGCCTAACGTAATTAACGATCTAATTTTCGGAGTTTATGAAGCCTTTTCTAATTTAGTAACATGCAAATAAACAACGTGGCTGGATTGGGTATTGAAAACCGATTGCATTCAACCGTGCTTAAATTATCCCAATATAGAATTGGATTATTGCAAATTAATTCTGAAATAGCATAGTGTAATAACATGAACAAGACCTCTATTATCACTAGTTAGAATATCGCTCGAAATATCTACAGCTTGCCATTCGTTCAATGTTCACGTAGGGACATAACAAATTCATTTATATGGATATGCGCATACGCTTGCTCCGATCGAAATAAATTCACGGGATTATCGGGCGAAGCTTGCGAGGAGGAAAACGGGGGTTGCAGCTTGCACGTGCTTCGCGATTGCGTGCTGCATGAAGCCAACACACCATTGGGCCATTGACATGTTGACATGCACCTATGCGTAAACACTATCGCCGTTTCAGAACCATTTTAAACGCAGTGACAGTATTTGCATTTGAGGGCATTATGAAAAGAAATTAACATCCAAAATTGTATCAAAAAATGTCAATTATCTTCCATACAAAAATACACATTTCTCTATACAAATTTTGATGACTATTGAGATAAACCGATAATAATTAATCAACGCAAATAATTTACTTATTAGGTATTCTTGTTTTTCTTATAATTAATTAATAATAATCATCAAATTTACTTATTATTCTCATTTTTGTTATAATTAATTAATAATAACTCAAATTTAATTTCTCTATGCATTGTAAAACTAATATAGATGATTAATTGACAATACTATTTTTATGTAATTATTTTTATTTAATTATATTAACACAATCTCGCAACTTTGCAGATACGTGGCTCTTGTCACTGAGATATAAATCTTTATTATTATATATTCTAGCTATCTTGAAACTAACTTAACTGCAAAATTCGTAGCTTATAATTAATCGCCTAGCACGAAATGTTTCCTAAATTTCCCACTGTTCTCCATAAACAACGGCTCTTGTTTCCATAATGTCTGCCAAAACAAATCGCGCTGGGAGATTATTGAAATTTGCATCGTTATATTGTCTCGTAATTGAAGTCTCGTTTTCGAAAAGATGAACCCTGAGATACGGGATGGAATTCGCCTCGTGTATAAATCGCGTGGTGTGTTTTTACGAGCCAGCCACTTGAAACGTGGTTTTTGCGCGTGGTCTCTCCGATTTCCGGCTTCTATTTCCTGACCGCTCTAAATCACCGCGCTCGCGTAAATCCGTGTCCGATTTATATCGCTCTATAAGCGACTGTAGGCGATTAAACGACAGTTTCTCTTCCCAATCTCTACGACCTCGATTGTCTAATTTCGATTTCCTATCCCAATTGTTTCGTATCTGTTTTTCTGTCTTCCTTTTCCCCATCTCTTTCTCTCTCCTCCCTCTCATCTTCACGCGACTCATTCGTATGCACCACCACGTTTACTCGCGGATACACGTGTATAATTTACGCCAGTGCTCGTTGTTTATCAACCTCTACCCACATTCCCTATAAGCGACTCTGTCCGATGTATTCGTTATCGCGCGAGGCCGCACGGAGAACGGGTCATCGATATACAACACGGTGTAAAAATAAAGGGCCGCACGCGGTTACGTGCATGTGCAGGCACATACCCAAACTTCGTTCCGCGAATCTCTTTTGGGTTACGAAAGAAAATGGATATAAGCCGCGCTTGAATATTTTCGCGAGAATCGCGAGGTTTCGATGCTAGAATAAATTTATGTGCTCAGAAATTCGTTCGTCTATTTAGTTAGATACCTCTCTTTCGTTTAACGGAATAGGAAAATATGAGAAGAGAGAATTCATAACTATCCGAATTGCATCAAGACTTTAGTGATATTTGAGATTCTCGAATATTGATTTTGATTCAACATATCGTACCTATACAATAAAATATCGGTGGTCTTCCCGTTGATATTTTTTGTCGTTATAATATTTCTTTTGCGTAATTTTAAAAAAGGAGAAAAAATACAACGCGAAAATAAACTAGATTAATTTGTCGATCTGCTCCAAAACGTGAAACGTTATAAGCAAAATTGCAATTGAGTAATGTCAAAACTTACTAAGAAATGCTTGGAAATATGCTGATTTCGAATTGAGATCGCGTTCTTAAATATGGCATTAAGGGTTTAATCCTCTCCTTAGACTTTCTCCGGGAATCCAATATCGGTCAGCTCAGCCGTCTGGCGATCATGAATTTTAAATACCGGAGACCTCGAATGGAACAGCGAACGGAAGAATAATAAATCTCCAGCTACATCTCTCACTTCGATATCGCCATCGCCGGGCCGCGCTGAAAATACAAGCCAATCGATACGTGCAGCTGAGCGTACGACAATCGTATCCGAACTAATTGGTTGCTTTTTGAAGGCTTATGTGTCAATTATCGTACAACCAGCTTATTTTGATTTAAGCTTAACTTTATCGTTATGTTGCCACACGAGTAGATTGTCCTCGAGATTGTCCTATTCTCTTAGGATTTATGATTTATGAACCATTTTAAATGGGAACTTGATGATTGCAGTTCTCGTGCTAAATGCTTAATTGAACTCTACTTTCGACGTATAACAATTCTGTTTCCCTCCCAAAACTTTTCCAAGTTATTTCCACGAATTTTATAATCAATATAATTTTGACTTGCAATAAAAATGTCTGTTACATTTTAATAATAAATTAAACATTGATATTTAAAGAATGATTATTTTTTCGCATACGCAATTAAATTATTATAATTATAAAATATAATTTAACTCTTTGTATCCTAATATGTGCACGAAATGTGCGCAATACTAGCGTTGAAGAATCTCATATTATTAGTCTATATTCGAGAATGTGTTTCTAAAAAGATTCAATGTCAGCCACCTTGCGTAAACAAATCACAAAGCCGACAAGTGGTCCATTGTGTTCCGGAAACCACTGATTTAGTAGAACTATTCTTAGCATCAGGATAAGCTCGTTCGCACGTGGTGTGCGGATTCAGAGGGCGGATGTCGCTTCCAGATGTCGAGTGGACTCGGTGCAACCGCAATGGGGATTGGCGTTAGTCACGGGACAGGCGGCGAAGGTGTAGCTGGTGGTTGCCGCCTCCGTGCACAGAACCAAGGCCAGGCCTCGGGGTCTACGATGCAGCATAGCAATCCGCAACAATCGTCTCAGCAGCAGCAGCAGTCGCAGCAGCAGCAGCAACAGGCGCCCGCGTCGCAGCAGCAGTCGCAGCAACAGCAACGCCAAGCGGCCGGATTCACGGGCCGATCGAAGAAGGACAACTGTTGCCTATGCTGGTGCTGTTGCTGCAGTTGCTCGTGGTATTATCGATCTTGCCCGATCACATCTCGTACATCGATGCGATTGATCTAAAGGAAATTGCTGGCACAATAGTCGAGCAACGGCTTCTTGTTCTTTTGTCAATGTCAATCTAACACTTTCAGTAATTATTTAGAGCAGAATTATTTAAAGCAGATTATCAACTGGAAAGGTCGCGGGATAATAAACGAGCAAAACAGGTGATTAGATATTAGAACAATACGATTAATTTTGTTTTGCTCGTTTATTGTCCCGCGTCCTTTCTAATTGCTTTGCAAACACGAACCAGACTTTTGTTTATTAAAGCAGAAAATCTTGATAATCTTCTTTTAAATCTTAAAAAATCAAATATTCTTGCCGTCTCTTAGATTTTTATTCGAAATGTTTTTCTTTTCATAACGTTTATATTGACGTTTTACATTGATTTAACTCCGTGAAACGGACAGCGCACCGATGTACGAAACGTTTTATTAAATTATGAAGAATGATACTCGATGATTTATATATGTCTACGACAATGGACAAATCGTTAATAAACAAAAGATAGATCTCCGAATCGCGCGAAGTGACTTCAGTCTCTCGGTCTGTGATTAAGGTAAATGTACCAATGCCTGGACACGTACCTATGTCTGGACATTTTTATCACTTTAGTCCTTAAATAAGTTATAACGCGAATTAAAATCAAAGATAATATTTTTCTTGCATTATATTTTTATCTTTGATTTTCATTCATGTTATACTTATTTATAAACTAAGATAATAAAGGTGTCCCAGACATTGGTCTTAAGTGTCCCGGCATTGGTACGTTTACCTTACGTACTCGCGATGGCGAGTTACTGAAAAGTCTACGCAAAGAATTTTCATTTTAATCACTAACATAAGGTAGATGAAAACGAGTAACGCGCTATTATCGTTATCGCGTGGCTATTTTCGTGCTTACTTCATCTACTGAACCTCTCGGCATTGAAACGATATCGGTCCATTGTCTTTAAACTCTCGCGTGTGATCCATTTATTACCGTGCAGACGTACCTACATATTGCCTTTCTGTGTTTCATGCCACAAGTAGGAATAAATGGTAAGCAGGCCACGGACTGTGTGCGTTAATGCTGCTTGTTTGTTATGTCGATGATGATGCTCTATCGTAATGCACGTATTACGGCTGACAGAAACGGGGTTATGCACATACCACGCGTCCTTCCTACGCGAACCATCTTTGCAGATTATACGCGTAACCTACTCATTCTGGGCTGGCATCGACGCGAAAGAGTTTATCTCTAAGGTGCAACGACATTTCCTGAATTGCTATACCACGAGAAAACATGACCGTGTACTCTTAACTGTTTCGTTATACTAATATATAGGAATTTTTCGAAAAATCCGTATTTTGAAATATAACAATTTCTCTGATTTAGCACTATAAAATTTTCTACTTGCTTCATGTTGCGCAACGTTATATTTTTCCTTAACCCTCGAGGGCAAATGCACCCTCGATAACAGTTCAAAGCTTCATTCGAAAGCAATAACATGTCTGACAATGAAATCACTGTGGTTGTCTACTTTATTAGTTGTTATATTATAGCTATAATTGAGAAATATTTTTAATAGAAATCACTGTTGACGTAAAAATGAATAATAATGAAAAAATGAATAAGCCTACAAACACGCGATAATTTTACAATTGTTTGTAAAATTAATCAAATAAAATGGTATAGACTAATACTTTACAACAAACGCTTGTAGCACGTAAGAAATATAAAATTACCAAATATTATTCTCTTATTCAGTCAAGTGGAAAAACTTTTAGAAATCAATGCAGGTCTGATTGATTCAGATGGCAGCCAGTAGAGAAACAGTCATTTTTGTTATTTGCCAACTGACCAAGTCGCGTAAACCGTTCAGAATCGCCATTTATTTCCACAGTTATGATTCGCAAACACCATAGTACAGCTGCGTTATCAAGCACAAAGAATCGGCCTTTCAATGACCAGGTTCTGGGCCTGTTATCGACACGACTAATATTTTCTGTCGCGATTCGATGCCGCTCGTTCAATCTCTTTGTGTCTCACGTTATCCGCGGTGTCTCAATTAAATTATAGTTATCTTGACGTTAGTTGCCTATTATTATTTCCTATTGCATTTGTGTGCGTGTCTGCCGGATTACACTCCTCCATTAGCCACTCATTTTATATCTTCATTTCTCGAGGCTACCGAGTTTGATATTCATTTTCCCCTCGCTCCTTGCTCGTCCCTCTACAATCGTACAATTATAATTAACACGATGATTTATGATCTTCAACCTCGACACCAATATCGACACGATAATCTGTGATAAATTTCAATCTGATTGGTAATAGAATCGATCAGATCTACTGTCACAATTGTAACGTAAAGTAGATTAAAGCGATTGCACAACAAGAAATGTACAATGAATTATTATTTTTAATTATTCCCTTGCACACACACAGTAATAAGAAAAATTTAAGTACATATTATACATAAATACGTATACATGCTTCTTTTCGAACGCGATTCAAACGTGAAATAGTTGGTAATTTTTCGTCATAGAAATTAATCATGGAATCATCGTATCAGAGCCTATTCATTTAACAGTCTCGATTATTTCGCATAATTCTACACGGTGTTAACGATAATGAGAAACCTATAAGATGGTTCTAACGTGCGCTGTCGTCTCAGTTTGGCGGCAGTCGGCGGTAATTCGACGGGTACCGGTGCGGACGATCAGGGCAAGAAAAAGGGCAATGCCGGTGTCGGCGGTGAGCATGGCAGCGGTATCAGCGTTACCGACTTCGCGGGTGCAGGTGCGGGTAACGGTCTCGACGGACTCGACGGCCTCGACGGCGGTCTGGAGCGCTGCAGCTTGGAGGAGGTCCGGACCTGGGGCTCGTCCTTCGACAAACTAATGAAGAGCGCCGCCGGCCGCAAGCTCTTCAGAGAGTTCCTCGTGAGCGAGTACAGCGAGGAGAACATCGCCTTCTGGCTTGCCTGCGAGCAACTCAAGAGGGAGAGCAATCCTGAGAAGATCGAGGAAAAGGCGCGCTACATTTACGAGGATTACATATCCATACTATCGCCAAAAGAAGTGAGTAGACTCTTAATCTCTCGCATGAAATACTTACTTATTCATGATAAGTAATCGTAATCGTGACTCGATTGAGACATTTAGGAGGAGCTAGTAAATAATCGCTGATCTATTATTTACATGTACATTTTTAAAAAATGGCATAATTATAGTTTTCTTGTAAAAAATAGAGATAAAAGATATTTTTATTACTATTAATATATAATTACTAACGCTAGTTAAAGCTAGTATTTATTTTGAAACAAATTTGTATATATATTTTTTATATATTTTCATGTTTCTTTTCTTTTAATTTATTTAGCAATTGTAAAGTCTTTTTGAATTGGTTATTTCAATTTGTTGCTGTTTTTTTTTTTCGCAATTGTTAGATAGTTTTAATACATTTTTTTTTATAATAAGATAGAAAGTAGTAAATGGTATTTATATAAAATAACGACATATTACTTCAAAATAGTATAATTAATAAAGTCATATATATACATTCGTCTAAGTATCCTCAATATATGACTATGTGAATTAAGTATAGTTACAATTATTTTACGTGACACTTGAAAGTATATTTATGGTACATTATGATATATTCTGGTACTTTGATACATTATGGTACCTACATTCAATCGAAGTAGAGATAGTATCAATTCCTAGAAATATATAAGCAGTTTCTAACGTGACATCCATTTAGTTAATATAAATAGTATGTACAGCGTCATGCGATCAGTATCTACTACTTTGAATAGCGATGCATCATAAGAACTTATAAATTTCGTAACAAAATAATTCCTACGCTTCCAGAGCTGTTAGCTTTGACGATAGAATCGATAACGTTATGTATTATCTAATTACGCCATTTTATCGAGATGCGAAAAATAGAGGGTATACAAACGCGCGAGAATTAGAAAAACGAGGCAGTAAAATTAAATGCAGTTTGAAGTGAAGAGGGATGTACTTTTGCAACGTAATGTTTTGTTTGAGAAAAGCTCTGCGAATGCGCGTGACTGATTTCTTTCATATTAACCGACTGACCTAGTGACCTAGTGACCGCTTTAACGACTTATTCACCCAAACGGGGCGAATGCACGAACCTTCTTTTGCCATTCGAACATTACGGCAAATTGTACAGTGCACGTACAATTCCGTGCATTATTGCAATCACCTACATAATTTTACGAGATAACATAAAAAAGATCGTGCTAAAGGTACCTCGTATACATAATGTGGCCTATAATTCTCAGAAAGTTTTTTTCATTATTGTTTACAGCTTTGAACATATCGATACTTCGCCATTTTTGTGATAAAAAAAAATTGTTGCAAAATTGGTCAAAGGATTGGCATATTCGGCCTATTTATCTTTATTTTTGAGGTATTAAGTTTGTCTGTTTCTAAAAAGTTATATTTATGTAATCAATTAAAGGAATAAAATGCAACTTTAAAAATTGTATTACACATATTACCATACAGAGAAACATCGTAGAATTATACGATATAGATAATAAACTATCGTAGAACAAGATTTTAATGTTTTATGGAAAAAAATGTGAATTACATCCGAACAGTGATTTGTAAGTTAAGACTTAAGAAAAATATAACGAGTTGCAGTTTTGCAAGATATTTTCACATACATGTAATCATAAATATGTTACGAGAATTTTTATTAACCCATTTTCTTTGTCGATTGTGTTTTTTGCAGGTGAGTTTGGACTCGCGAGTGCGGGAAATCGTGAACCGCAACATGGTGGAGCCTACGCCGCACACCTTCGACGAAGCACAGCTGCAAATCTACACCCTCATGCACCGGGACTCGTATCCGCGATTCGTAAACAGCGAGATTTATCGAAGGGTGGCCAGAATGAATAACAGCACTCCGCCCAGCCCGAGCACTGGGCAGGAGCATAGTGGTAAGGCGAAGAGCAAACGAGGGACGACGTAATCGTGATCGTGATGGTCCAGAAACGTCGGGAGCGCGGACCAAGACCTCTAAAATCAAGCACCTTCATCAAAGTCACGATTGGCCGAACCGTTCGGCAAGGGTTTCGCAATACCCTCCTTGTCGGAGAGCCTCCGTCGAGGCGAGGAATCGCCCGAGCGGACATGGCTGACGAAGCTAATCCCTCGCAGGAGGGAATCTCCATCCCCTCGGGTGGACGACGAGCTTTCTGGTCGCGTCAGATCGCTCGCACGGAAGTCGGGAGCTTGTTCAGTGATTCGCTCTTCCACGCGAAGGCGCAACGGGGCCATGTAATCGCGCTCGCCATTGCACGCGAGCCATTACGACACCGATGATGATGATAATGATAATGATGATGATGATGGACTGAACGTACGACGAGATCGCGATCGCGGTCGGTCGCGTAGATCACAAATCGCGGCGTTCCACTTTCAGGAGTTCGGTGCAGAGCGCATGCACGCGGGACGGTGGATCGTAGCCGGAGAAAGGAAGGTCACGCGATCGCACGGGGATGGCGGGCACCAAACGCGAACACCATCGATCCTTCCGTGTCCATCGTTCTTCGAGCCTCGCAATCTACCCTCGTTGTAATTGTAACTCAAAAGCTCGAACGGAGGCTCGCGAGCTTCCCCTTTCTCTTTCGCTCTTCTCGGCTTAAAAGCTAATTCGATTTGAATCACATACCTTATGTCTTTCACGAGCGATTACAAATAGTCGAGATATCCTCTTCTATTTCTCAGCAAGTACAAAGGAAAAATTGGAAAAACATTCTGGGTTATTCTTATTATAATTAAATTCGCGCATGTAAAATGTGAATGATATGATTCTAACTCAATTTGCCACAGGCCAAGCAGACTGAAAGAGGCTGACTATTTGATTTAAGTCTGGTACGTTCGACGAAACGAGATGCTCACAATGTAATACATAACTATAATTAGCTGATGCGTTTGATGTTGAAGAGATAATCGCTACATATATTTCTAGTCATATGTATTCGACCGAAATTCCGCGAACACGCATTTTTCCGCGGACGGACATACTCTGCAAGCTCGCGAATTGAGCTTTCAGAATAATGGATATTTATCCCTCTCTCAGGACGCAATTGATTCCGGACATATTTTATGGCGATTGTGTCTCCTGTGATCTTAAGATTAACGCGCGTAGCAAGAACTCGTCGAAAATGTCGCGTGTCTTCGTGAAGATAGGTTTAATCTGCTCAAGATCGAACTTACTGTTTGCTCTCTCTCTCCCTTCTTCTCTCCCTCTCTTTCTCTCCCTTCTCTCTCTCTCTCTCTCTCTCTCTCTCTCTCTCTCTCTCTTTCTGTCTCTTTCTTTCTCTTTCCTTCTTTTTCTCTTTATATCTCTCTCGTTCTGCGACATTTACCTTCCATGGATGGGGGAGAATCGAGTTAACATCGTCATACAGCCCGCTGTAACTTCAGGGTAACGTATCATAATGCATTTTTTATCGCGCGCACTTTTCTATAATCAACAGTAGTCCGCGAGTTTTCCTCCTCGGGAAGGACGAGGTCGCGAAATCGTATTTATCCCCAAAAAAAACGAGGAGAGTGTCGAGAAAGAGAAAGGGAGAGACAAAGGGAATCTCTCTTCGAAAATTATTGCTAAGGATACCTCGAATCTCGTTCGCTTTCATCATACTTTTACGGATTACCGATGGACAGGGATCTTCGCCACTTCTGCGTCATCCCCATGGCGGATATTGAGCTACTGCCAGCGAGAACACACCAAAGATCGAACGTGCGTTGAAGTCAACTAATTTGACGATCACCAAAGAAAAGAATGACATTCAATCGACACGAATCACATGCATACGCACACATGAATACGCAACACACGCACGTATATATACATATATATACATGTATATATATGAGGCATTCTCGCTGAAATTTTCATATTTTTACCCTGACTTACTGCAATAATTTTGACAATTTCCAAGAAGTATTCTGAAAAAGAGAAGACACGTATTTTTTGGTTTGGACCTACGATTAGTATCTTCAGTGTAATTTTTATAAAAATTGAATGATTCGGTAACTCTACCTTTTAAAACGTTATCTTGGAAATGTTCAATCTTATCAAAAAACCGCTTGAATGAAATTTGTTCAGTTTAAAATAAATTACATGATGTATATATTCTTTTTAATTTTTGGACAGTCTAAAGCTCTTTAACATCGTATAACACAATTTTAGACTGTTCAAAAATTAAAGAGAATATATCATCATGTAATTCATTTTGAACTGAACAAATTTCACCTGATAGGATTGAACATTTCCAAGATATTACTGTTTAAAAAGTAGAGTTACCAAAAAATTCAATTTTTACAAAAATTACATTGTTGGAAATATTGATCGTAGGTTCAAACCAAAAAATACAGTGTTTTCTCTTTTTCAAAATACTTTTCGGGAAAAAATTGTCAAAATCATTGCAATAGGTCAGAGTAAAAGTGTGAAAATTTCAGCGAGAATGCTCCATGTATATATGTATATATATACGTGTACAGAGACACGCACACACATACCCACGCTGACGCAAAGCAACGTACGCTCGTATAGAATCTAGTCATCGTCACGCGGAAACGCGCAATCGTGGGAGAAAAGGGCCTAAATACGAGAAAAAAAATACCAAATGTCCCTTAAAATCGCGCGAAAAGTCGAGGCTATCGCATCGAAATTGAACCATCATCGTTGATGCGTCGACGAGAGCAATGAAACAGAAGAAACGTGGGAAGAGAGAAAAAGAGAGAGAAAGAAAGAAATTTAACGGAAGAGGCGTTCGATGAAAAATGGCGAGGCGTCGCGGTGCGGATGCATCTTTTAACACTAATTTATAAGTATAAGTACGGAATAGAATTTAAAATAAAATAAAAATAAAAATAAAATAAAAGAGGGAGTACACGATGAGACACTCGAGCGACGTTATCGACGTTTGTAATCACGATCGAAAAGTTAACATCGTTCGCGCCGCGGCGCCCGCTTATCATCAAAATTTCCTTTCGGCCGCGATGCGCTTCGACTCGAACGATATATACTTTGCCTTCGGGTTTATCCTCTTCTTACAGAAGTTCACACGAATGTTCACCGTAATATATGTTTACATCTGAGATCTATTGCAGTATGTATAGTGCATAGCACTCTGTGTTTGACAATGGTAAGTAATGTAAGCGCTGGAGAGTCGTCTCAGAATACCACAAAATGAAGAAATACGGGGTAAGGCTGATATTTCATATGTCGTATGACAAGCGTACTGATTGGCTACAAGATAGAGGATTTCTAGAGGCTCGAGAACTTTTCTACTTCGCAACCAATCAACATGCTTGAAAAATTTGTCGCACGACACGTGAAATATCAGCCTAACACCTAACTAATGTTAAACGCAAAGATTAATAGCCAGCTTAATATATAAAGTAATGTCCCGAAGAAACTCCTCTGGCGTTCATACTTATGTCAGACACAAATCACGCAAAATGAATGTCGGATGTAAACTTGCCGCCACTGTTAGCATCTCGTCTCACGTCGTGAGACCGATTTCTGCGTCACGATATCGGGAAGATAAAACGACGCTCGGCCGAGACCGCAACCGGGATATCGCAAGCTCAAGAGACTCGTATTACTTACGTACTTCTTTCGGTTTTTTCTTTCCCTCGCGAAACAATATACTCTCAGGAATTTACTGGAACGCATCGATGGACGACGTACATAATATTTGCCGCGCTATGAAACGACCAAGAGAGCGATAGAATTTCGAGCGCATCGCGGCGCGCCCGCGCGATCTCTCCACTTGCGACATAGACGGTACACGTCGCGACAGAGGTAGAAAACATGCCAACCATAATACATAACACATAACAAAAGACGCGCTTACTTTCCCGAGGATCATCGTGATCGGGAAATATGAGGCGATGTATGAGCGTGCGTCTCTAGTCAAATCGAAGTCGTCGGTATCGTCGCGAGCGGATAGCACAAGTGACAACACTCGCAGTTCGCACAGTCAGTCAGCGTTTGGCTACTGCCCTGTAGATAATATATAGATAGGTATAATGAACGAAGGATTAATGATTATAAATATAAATATATAAATATATATATATATAAATATAAAGAGAGAAAAAATATATATATAAATATACAGAAAAAAATATGTGCTATGTTCCACACATAGGTGCCGAATGCGAGCGTGCGAGAGTAACCGTGAGAGAGAATGTGAGAGGGTGAGACGCGTGAGTCTTTTTAATTTTCGATTCTTTGTTCGACGCGAGGACAGCCCGTCCGCCGCGACCGAAAACACGAAAGACGCGGTATCTAGTAAAGATCTCAAATCGATCTTAGTTCTAGCATACTCGACACCATACTCGCGTAGCACCAAAGACGAACGTGATACAGTGAAGATCGTAAGCAGTGAGAATTACGCGATTAGATAGAGAGAGAGAGAAGAGGGTAGAGCGACAACGATATAAATAAGCGTAAATGTCCCTTTGAAGACTTGTAAATGCAATATTATCTTATTATTAGCGTCGTCGTTATTATATGTCGTTATTATATTGTTATAAAATAATTATCATTATTACTGCTATTTTGCGACTATCCTTATTATTATATTTATTATTATAAAACCTTGTTTCGTTGATTTTTCTTTGCTGCAACTTTTGCAAGCAAGTCGCAAGAAGTATGTGATATAGAAATTTTGTGATATATAGAAATTAAATGTCTTCGTCGAAGGCACTCGGACTCGTCGTTCTCTCCTCTTCTCTCATCAGCAGGGCTGTTCATTTAGGACCTCAACGCGACTTCCGGAGGCCTCGCGTCGGCATCGTTGATGAAATTAAGCGGTGAGATTGCTCGAACATCGTCTTCACTAATAAACGCACAAATTTCTAAACCTTCGATCCCCTGCTTCTTTCTTCACGAGGAAATTCCCTTAAAATCTGTGTAGGGCGGAGAGGTAAGGGCATGCCAGACTCATCATCAGCACAGTTGCAATCGTGCATGCATCTCTCCCGATCTTTGCATATGTTGATTTTCCGGCTTTTATTTTCAAGGCAATCTGTGAATTTACTGTGTACGACTCAACGTGTACAGGTAAGTGTTCTGTAACTTTATATGTTCTCAATTCAACCCGGATTTACATAGTTGAAATACAGAAAATATGAATTTATTTATTTATTAAACTGAGTTATACTGAATATATTTGAGAGGAGCACTCGAGAGAGCATTGAAAACAATTTTAATTTAATATCTTTACTTATTATGTTGAGTTGATAACAATAATTATATTATTTGATATACATGATTGTCGAATAAAATTTAGATATTGTTTATATAACGTATCTAAAGAAAATGTGTATTACCGTTTTTATAGCAGCATAAAGTACATCGCAAATGGGAATATTGGATGATAATTTTATTATCACGAAAAGTCTCAAAAGTCAAAGTTTTGTTATCAAGAATTTTTTTTATAAGAAATAGTGCACAATTTATGTATATTATAATATATTATAATATATAATTAAAATATAATATATAGTTTATTTTTATCAACTTCGAGTAGTGATATGAAACAACTCGCTTCCCTAGAGACGGTCCAGTGAAAGCTGAATTGCGTGCTGTTGACAATATAGAAATCATGCGTGATAATATCATGCAAATTCACATTTTTAATGTATTATAATAAAATAATGGAGCTGCTGAAGAATCCCAAATAATATATAATTTAAAATAATGATTTACAAAATACACAGAGCATCTAGTTATTAACTGCTGCCAGTAAAACAGCATTAGGAAGGATCTATAAACTATATATATTTATATTTATATGTATATGTATGTATATAGATTTTCTATGTTGTGCATTTTAACATTTGATTTTATTATAATGTGTGGAAACTGAATTTATTTGATTATTTGTTATTGGAATTGGTAAAGCTTTCAGCGAAATTAAAGATTGTGTAAAACATTTTCACAATTAATAGTTATCGAACGGAATTAATGGTTACTTTAAACAATGGTAATAAATTCACAAAGTGCGAAGTCTGTAATAATAGTTTATTTAACAAAATTAATTTCAGAAGAATATAAATTAAATATTTGGCATATGTGTTTATTTTATAATATAGATATTAAATATTTCGTGATTAAATTTTGTTTGGTAGTTGTTATATAGCACGCGTATCCGAGGCACTTTGCATTGTCATGTGCGTAGCAAGAGTCGATTGAACGGGTAGCAGTACGAGCCATCCTGTCACCACCATATCCATTGAATATGACGATCGTTTTTCAAATACTAGAAAATAAAACACCAAACACGATTATTTCCTTGCAAACAATAAACCTCCTATTAATTCGCGCAAGTACTCAACGTCCACGATTGACGATTGTAAATAAATTTAAGTGAATAAAGTTGAATATTTGGCACAATTTACTTTTTTACGCACGAATCAAAACGACAAAGAATGAAAATTATATAATATCGTTTTATTTTTGTGATAATATGTCTTCGCATAAATTCGAATGTATTTTGTACTGTGCTTTAAATTTGTTAGTGATTTAAACGTAATTTGCTTATCACATTCGTCATTTGTAAATTTGATTAAAGCGAGTTGACGTTTCGTTCGTGTGCCAATTTGCGAGATTTACAATTGTCTAGTGGATCATAAAGCTTTGTATTTATAATACGACTAAATATACTCCATCCATTCTACATATTATCTATTTTGATTAGTTAAACGCAATGAGTTAAACGTATTCGCGTCATTTTTCAAGCAATGCACTTATGTCTATCGTGCGTAGCACGACATGAAAAGAATAAAATTTTGTATTGAAAATATCTTTATTGCAGTGATTTTTACAATTGTGTGTCAAGTAATAAGGTATATTTCTATCTAAAAAATATCTAACAATAAGGGCTCATTATCATTTCTACATCATGAGATACATTACAAATGAGAGTACTTCATGAGATATGAAAATTTTATTATTAGGAAAAGTTTCGTACTTCAGATTTTTCTTCAAAAAAATAGAGAACTACTCACTTCCCAACGTTTTGGTGAAAACTGACTTCTTACTGTTGTACAATATACTTATGTATTTATGGACCATTGACAATATAGAAATTATCTGTGATAATATAGTTCACATTTGCAATTAATTATTAGGGAATATTATTATACAATATTAGTATAAAATAATATAGAGCGAAGAATTTGAAACAGAATAATTTACAAAACCGATGGAGCTTACAAAAATTTAATTGTTAACAACTGCCAATAAAACAGTATAGAGTGATCTCGTTATAAATTCAACTCTCCAATACATATCTATATTATCTATGTTATGCATTTAAATATTTACTTTTATTATCCTGTATGAAAACTTTATTTATTTAATTATTTATCGTTTCTCTGTACTAAGAATGAACAGTTATCATCAATCGTTAAAGTCAATAAGCGTAGATCTTTCGTCGCTAATTAAATCATCAGTATACGATCTTATTATCAATTTAGAACAGCTGTAGCTAGACTTTAAAATGTATGCCTCCTTTCCTTAACGCGTAGCTTAATCGTAAACGCGTAAACGTCTAGACGTAAACATTGTAAAGAGAGTATGTAAGAACAATTCGTAATTCAAATTCAGAATTATGAATTTATCCTCGACGTGAACCAAGTAATTGCATTCACTGATATCTACATATCTATTTGTTTGGAATAACGCATTTGGGCAGTTAAATATTTCACAAATTATGAATTATCTATATAGGTATATGTGTGTATATATATATATATATATTTTTTTTTTGTTTTTATTTTTTTTAGAAGACAGTTACGTAATTTACCCGATGTAATCTTAGTAAAAATTCGTTTCGCGGTTTTGATTGATGCTCATCCATAACGTCTTATTGTCTTTTACAATTATACATAATTATTGTACTTTCTGTATTTCTTCGAGTATCGCGATCTTTAGCCATCATTTATTTTTATTTAGCTATAATAATTCTACCAGATTTCGTTTCAATTTACTTTTTAAGGGTCAATCGGTGAATCGAAAGGTTTCACGCGCGTTATGTACTTGTCTTATGTATACCCGCAGCACCTCAGCCGTGGTTGCAAACTGCAGCGATCGTAATCCATAACCACGCGAGTATCCATTCCCAAGGAACCACAGACCCCACGTGAAATCCGATGCGATACGTGCAACACTCCTGGACAAAGTATACCTTCGCGCTCCCTCGCTTCGAGGAAGGAGAAGTCTGTCTTTCAAAATGTGCACCCGCTTTCTTTACCTTACAATTCAGTAAGTACACGTCGATCGTTAAAAACGTTTACATTTATCTGCGGGAAGCACGAAAATTCTGGTTTTTTTTCATTGTTGTATTAGTTTAACCAACCATTACCGTGTCGTACAGTCTAAACTTTGTTTCATGTAATTGAGAAAGTGGCGATAGAAATATTTTTCTTTAGTTAGAATATCTACATCAGTCTGTCAGGGTCAGATCAGTGAAGATTATCTTACTCTCTTCTAGGAACCACGAAACCTTACGTTCTTAGAAGATATCTCTCAAAAATAATTATAGCAAAAGATTATCTATACTAAATGGACGTTTAAAAGAAAGATTTTTAAAATTTTTATTTTTCAAGTCCTGGGGATAGTTTATTTTTAACTGAAATATTAATCTAAAAGTGTTATTTGATTTTCTATTGTTGATCTTGCGCATTATTCGATACTAATTAAAAAAATTGCAGGAAGGAAACGTATACGATGCCTCTTTTTTTCGAACATTTTAATTTCAATAACTTAATAATTTCTTCCAGGTAATATAAAAAATGTTGCATCAGATAATAGAGATACTTGCGCGTATCGATCTGTAGAAGGTTAAATACATACAGTCTTTTTTCATGTGCAGTAGCATCACGCGAGTCATCGTACGCGCACACACATGCATTTATCGTATGTCGCGCGGCTCCGTTTATGTGTGTGCTCGATATAAAAATCCATTCGCCGGCATGAGTGGCGTCGGCTTTGAATTTTTTTGCTTCTGCCCCCTGGCTACCGGCGCGGCTGCTCTCCCGTGCGCGCTCCGATGGAAACGATCGCGATCCAGAGGCCAAGGAGAAAACCGAACCAGCTTAAACTCTTTCTCGGCCCCCGCCCGCCCCCGTTTGTCTGCGCTGTGTTTCGTCGTGCTGACATCGTTTTCGCGGCCTTCCATACCCGGTTCCTCTCCGCCTTCCTTCTCGCTTTAACCCTTCCCAGAGGTGGCCGCTCCTTAGTGAAACCGCGTATCTGGAATTTCTAGTGGCGATCCGTATACGACTTTACGGTAAATCGCCGCAGAAGTGTGTCTCCGAGTCCGATAACGATATTAACAATTATATTTTATATCGTTGCATCGCATCGACCACCCTATTGACTGTTAAAATTATGCTTGTTTAAAATTATTCAAGCCACGCATCTCACAAATTACGTGTGAATTTTGCTTCCCTTTACGTTTTTTTAAATCACCTGTAATGTTGGGACAACCATTATTCTTCTTATATTGGCTCGGAGAAAGTGCGCGACTTCTGAGACAGGCTATATAAACCTGGCCAATATTATAAAACTCATAAAATGATTCACGACGAACGCTCGTTCATCACGTCGTACATCGTCGAGTTACATTGCCTCGGGATGTTACTTTCCGCTTCAGTGTCACGTTGGATTACATCTTCCGTGCGTCCGCATCGGGCATGTTTCCTCTCTCTGGCTCTCCTCCCCCCGGTTACGTAGACGTCCACCTCGGCGGAATTTTATACGCGAGACGCGTTCGATGATATTAATTATCTCCTCGTTCTCAACGCGCATTACTGAAATTTGTTATCGTTGCCGGTAATCAAATACTCCACATGGAATCTGT